AGACAGTGTCTATTTCCACGTAAACTGAGAAAAATGAATCTCATTCTTTTTGATGATGTAGCAAAGAAGTAATGACCCTATGGGATCTTATTACATGGCTGAAAAGTGAATTAACTTTGGCATAACCATATCGAGTGAATTACTCTAATGATCTGTTTCCTAACTCTTATGGGTGATCTCATAACAATTCTCTCATAATCTGGGAGTGTGCATGAACACATAAATTGATTTTGCTTTTCAAAATCCAAACTTAATTCTCAAAGCAAATCACTGAGACATTTTATCATATACATTGCTGAGGGAAACAGTCATTGCTATAGGCAATGATGACACCTGTGACAGTAATAAAACTGGTCCAAAGCAAAGTTATTCATATATCAGCATATAGATGCAAAATTGAAGGTAGCCCTCATATGAAAGAGCAGGAGGAGCTACAGGCTTCCTCTGACTGGTAACCTCTATTTACAGGACAGGCTGAGAGAACTACAAAGCTGTTCTGCCTGAAAACTTGTAGTAAACAAGAAAAGAAAATAAGCTAGACAGTTAAAAGGTGGAAACTTTTCAATTTTACAAAAAAGGCTGGATTTTTCAACAGACAGATTCTCAGGACCTTCTGTAAACCACATCTTCTGAGAGACTTGAAATTGTGGACACTCAAATTCATTAGTCATTTATGGATTAGAAGATCAAGGTCCATATCTCCCATTTTTGTTGGCTGACAGATAAATATTTGTCAGAATTTGTAATAATGCTATCTGGAATTTCTCATTTAGCAATGATCAGAGCAGGGTGTAACACATAATTAACTCCTTGTTGCTCTGCTCTGGGGTAAATAATCATCCTCATTGTATTTAAAGATGACTGCAATGCGGGTGACTTACCTAGGGTAAATGAATTTCTTCATAGTGCTAAAACTCCTTAGATGCTGATCCTGTGCTTCATTCTGTTCAGTGCTTCCACGTCCTGGAGTCTCAATGTTACCAGCTAAAATTTGTGTAATGCTAATTAAGGATGTGATCAGATAAAGTAATAAACAGTGCTTCTGCTATGCGCTGTGATTATTTCAAGTTAAGATTGGGTAAATATGAAATTTCAACACAGTGATTTTAATTCTGCAGCAGCAAGATTAATGAATTCGCTTTAAATTGGTCGCCACTGATGCACAAAATGATGGAAAGCAAAGGCTGGCTGTGTAGCAGAGGTGAGCACTGAACACGTGTCCGTAGCCATGCTCATCCTGTTGCTGGAGCTCTTGCCCTCTCAAGTCTTTTTGCTTTAAACAGTTGTTTATTACAAAATCCTTGATGGAGGTAGGATCCTTCTGGAGGTTAATTTTCTGGTACCTGTGAAACAACCAGCTGCTGGGTGACAGCCTGTCAGATTTTTTTTTTTAAGAAATCTAACACTAAAGGGCAAAAATTCTGTCTGACAGTAGTAACAGCAGCAGTTTTGCCAGGCAGGTTGTGAGGTACTACAGCACCATATGCTGCATGCCACAAAAACTCTGCGAGAGGAGATGAAATCCAAAACCAGACATAATAAAAATGTGGATGAAGCAGTGTCACTGTGTGTCCTTAGCTTCCTGTCCTGTGCACAGCCCTGGAAAGGGAAAAAGAGGTGTCGTTCAGCCGTAGTCAGCACATACTTCACTTCTTAAGGAAAGAAGCAATTTTTATCCTTCTCTCATCAAGGAAGAACTGGAGCAGAGAGCAAGAAAATGACAAAGCCAAGAGGAGCCCATGGCTGAGCTGGCTACAGAACCTCCTTCTTCTGCACCCCTGGTTGTCCCTCAGCCCTCATACTCACCAAGATGATATAATTTACCAAGTATACTCTTTGTGTTGAAAATTTAACAGAATAAGGCGCAGAGAGAAATGGTGCCCCTGCGTGTTTGGCTTTGGATGGTGTGGAACTCTTTGCTGGGCAGTTTGGAGCATTGTCCTTGTGCTTTGGGACATCCCAGCTGGGACTAATAACTGGCACACCAGTGTGTGCCTCCTGAGAGCCAGGCATGCTGCCGTGACTTCCAACACTTCTCCTGACATGTTTGTTAGCAATCCTGAGGTTATGGCAGGCAGTGACTGACTGACTCCAGAACCTCTGACCAGATGGCAGGGTGAGTCAACCCCAAATGACATGGTAGTACAGGCTGCCTAGAGCTGTTCCATGACTACATAAGAATAAAACACACTGAATACTTGAAAAGACTAAAGATTCACCCAGCTCAGGATTTTACCTGACACAGAGGACACAAGAAGATGCCAAAGAAAGTATACTACCACTGGGAAAACCTGTTATACTTCCTCTTCACCAAAATTTGGTGATTCTTATTCTGCAGGTGCCCCTTGTTAAACACCTTACTGTGAGAAGTTGTGTAGAGAAACCCATGGACCAGGTAAAATAATGTCAATGAACAGTCCAGCAATGAAATATTGACCTGAAGTGTTTGAGTCCAATATGGTAACCTTATGTTTGTGCAGTTCATTCACAGTACAGATGGATTTATCAAAACTGAGGCATCTCGGATCAATCTCTTGAACAGAGCTGTCAGGAATTGTCATGATAACAACCGCAGCAGAAGCAGTATCAAACACAAGAAGGTGGCAAAGTCAGCATGACTGGTTGCTGAATTGCTCACTACAGGTGCACACATGACCCCTGCCTTTTTACGGGTGGGAATAAGAGCTGTTAGCCAGATGGTTGCAAAAACAGACAATAAGAAGACTCTGAAGCAGTCATGTGCATTGTCTGAGCAGTCCAGGATTGAAATGCTAGTATTTTTCACAGGACTTTGCTTACCTGCCTGGGAACAATAAAACTGGTAGCAGTCATTTGAAATACCAAAGACCAGCTCTTTGCACTGTTGGCCTGCATAAATCCCAAACCATTTATAATAGCAGCAAACTCAACCTGAGCTACAGCTGATCTCTAGTGATAAAATCTGCTTTCCTTTTTGGTCAGTATCCCTGCTCCTGGAATATTTCCAACATCTCCTTCTTGAGGAAAGCAGTGAGACACACTGTCATAAATTCACTGAAGCAGATTCTCCTAAAGATGATGAAACATCATTTGCCACTTCAAGCACCACAAAGGATGGAAAAACACGTCAGAAACTTTTGGCTGAACTTTGTGTAGGTCTTCCATACTGATATCTTTGCAAGTGCCATAAACTATGGTAGTATGTTCATGGCTGTCTCACTGCCCCACTGGGGAGGGTGTCTGAATGTCTTTCAGATAAATCAGTCATCAAGACTAAAGTTTAAGAAGTCATCCACTCCAGCCTCATGATGTTGACTCAGGCTATGAAAAGTGTACAATTCATCTTACTCTTTTCTCATTATCCACCATTGAAAAGCTCTATCAGTTTAACTTCTTCCTGAAGCCTCCCTTTAGTCTTTCTAGCTCTTGATCTGATCATTTTCCTCCTACTTTTCTCCCTTTATCCAATCTTCTCTGTCATACAGGTGTCACTTTCTTTTCTTGTCCTACCAACGGGGGTTGTAGAATAGAAGTACACTAGAGCAGAGATCTTGCTGCCTACTTTAGCAATGTTTAACACATTTAACACTGAGCAAACCCAGCTAAAGCCTTTGAGTGCTACCACACTATAAATTATACAAATTAAACCACTATGACATTCAAGAGAGACATGGGCTCACAGATTAAACTGCTGAGATAGATGTACATGTTTTTTAAGGGCAGAAGGACTCATCAGATTTTGTTTGATCTCCTCTCAATACAAGCTGTAGAATATTGTCCAGTCAGGTCCACATTCAGCCCAACATTGTTGCTGGAGAAGCAGGATATTTCCTTTAGAAAGCCAGCTAGGCACTGGGTTACCTCTGGGGAACCAACTACCACAAAGCTATATGACGTTGCGTTTTTCAGCATTCAGGAATGTATGGCTACATCTGCAGATGTTAATGATTAAACACTGTCCTGAGTGCAGCCTTCCTATTTTCTCCTTAATGTTCCTGCCTACTAGCATTTGAAGGGGGAAGAGACATATTCATTAACCTACACGTCTAATTCCTCGAGTGAGAAATGAAAGCATGATCCAAAGGCACAGGGACAGACTGTGTTGGCCTAGCATTTGGCAATTTCTCAGGTTTGTTATGTCCTCAAAGTACAGCTATGCTTTACATACAAATGGGCTAGATGACTGCAAGGAAAATCACTGATTTAGGAAAGCAATGCAAACATTTGTGGCATTTCAACGTTATCCAGTAAAGGTGTGTAACCCTTCTATTTGACAGAGAAGTGAATATTGATGAGAACTCACACATTAAAACCCTTCTGAGATAAAGAGAAGAGTGAACGTATTTCTATGGGTTTACATATTGCCTATGTAACAAATTAATTCACTACTATGTTTCAGAGACTGATTAAATCCCCACCAGTGCTGCTCTGGCCATTCATTTTTTACTGATGCCCAAGTGACCACTGTGAAGGTGACACTGATTAATACAACAGAATATTCAGCATTGCAAACGGAAAAAATATCAGAGATGAAGTACCTTCCCAAACACTGGCTGCCATCCAGCTCAATCTATTTCCTTCCTCTTCTCACTCCCCCTTCACCCAGAGGTTTCTTTGGCATACTTTTGTTCCAATTTATGTTTTCTCTTGCTCTGAGGATGTGTCCTCCTTCTAAGGAAGCCTGGTGATATAACAGAATGAGTGGAAAGCCTGACTGTCTTTGCTCATACATAAAGTGAAGATCTACACTGCCAATGTGTACTACAAATGATAGGAAGTCATACTGACAATAAGGAACCTAAAGCTGTCCCCACCCCAACTGTGTGCAGGTGGTTTGTGTGGCTGATACCCACAGCATGCTGACACAGGCATACTCAAGGTGTGGGTTCCTGTGGGTCTTAGAGGCTGACCTTTGACTATGTCAAGTTTCTCTGTAAAAGCTAGTGATCTTAGTGATTTTGTTGGTGATCCTGCCAGACTGTGAGCAGGGCTGAGATTTCTGTCCTTCGCCTACCTTTGTTTATCTAGGATGTGATTTCTAACAATGTTCCTCTTCTGTACAGCACTTTGTATTTTAGGGTAGGAATTTCAGTTGATGCTCTCGCTGTCCCTGTAATACAGACAACAAAATTATATCAACAGAAGGAGCATTAAAGAAGGAAGAAAAAAGGTTAAAAAAGACAGCAGTGCTCATTTGACAGATCCAGATCATGTAGTACCACGAGGTACAGCATGTATTTCTACTCCTTTTAACAGCTTAGGTATGATTGTGGAAATGTCACGTAAACAGTCTCAAAAATAGAAAAGCTGAAAAAGTCTGTTCCATGACAAATATCAAGCTGTTGTTAATCACTGATATTATAGTACCTTCTCTCATTTATTCATATTGAGGATCTTTCTCTAACAAATACTGCCTCCAACAGTGTTTTCTTCCTTGTAATCCTGGCCCAATTCTGCAGTCATGTTTTTCCCATGTTTCTAATTCTCCAGTTTGCAGTCAGCTCTCCATGACAGTCCAGAGGAAACCTTTACTCACACACAGTTTGATGTATCCTCAGCGAAGTTCAGGTAGCCTGACTGTCCTTCAGCCGCTCCTTGATAAAATGTGTTCACGAAGGCAGTATATTCTGTCAAAGAGTAACAACCAGGTAGAGATTAGGCTTTGCAGGCTTTGCTGGCTATCAAGTATACTGCACGGGGCACAATACAGAAAACAGAATATTTTGCAAAGGTTTCAGAGTGCTCCAGGAGACTAGTGAGACTCAGCTTCCTGAATCATTTAGACTTTCTTTATACATATAGAGAGGAATCATCCAAGGATCTCTCTGCTTTACTCAGAGAGACAAACTCAGTTCATATACTTTGGCAGAACGCCAAAGAAATGGAAGCACAGGGGAATCTAGAGGAAGGGCACTACACAGGAGACCACATGGGTTTTTTTCCCAGCTCTTCCACGGCCTTGATGGGACCTTTAAAGAATTCATAAGGTTGTGTGCAAAACCTTTCTGAAAACTAGGGGGAATAATGTGAACAGCCTTTTCCCCTCAAAAAAATTGTCAAATCAGATGAGAATTTGCCCTAAAATATCAAAATGTTATTTTGGTTGTAGTTATGCAGATTATTTAGCCCTTCAGTCTCTATTAATTATTCTTCTTTGTGTAGGCTCATTATAAAACATCCAGATGATGCTGCTATTCTCAGTAGCCCGAGGAGGTTAATTTAATGTCAAATACTGTACTGTCAGGAATGCTTAAAGGGTTGGCCTCTATTTGTTTTTCTTTATTTTTATTTATTTGTTTCAAACTGTCTCTTGGTACACTTCACAAAACCCTTCCCCACCTTTCTTTGAGCTCATGGTCTTCAAAGGTCTAGATCTCTTTAAATATTTTCTCTTATCTTTCATTGTAAGTGAATCACCTCATAATTTCAGCTGGCTCATTGTTAACACTCTCCAATTTATTTGTATCATGTAGACCATTGCTTAGCTAACCTGAACGGAGTTTGTCTAAACTTAGTACTACTGCAATAGTGATGCTATTTTTCTGATCTGTGACATGTCCTTTTTGTAGCTTTTTATTTTAGCCTTTTCAAACTGACCTGTGAAACAACTACTTTCTGGTCCACTTCCTCAACAGTAATCAGTCCTGCCTATCTTAATCACCCAGCATGCAGTGTGTTCCTCAGGATTTGATCCAAGTGATTAAGATGATTTCCCAAGGATCTCCCAAATGTTATTGATTTGATTTACATCTCTCCATTTTCACTGTTGTCTTCAAAATTACAAAGGTCCAACACAGGTTTTGTTGGGGTTTTTTAGAAGGAAATTATGCTGAGAATGTCTCAATATCTTAATGCTTCTGATGCTCAAGGATACTGGCAATTTGTGTATAGGCAGTTACAAAATTCTGACTCACGGAGTTTTGTCCTGTTACTTGCCCCACATAAATCATTAACAGTAACAGAGCCACTAATACACTTCATGGTATTTCTGATACTTCTATGAGTTGGAGATCAAATCTAACAGCAACACCATTCCTTTGTCACAAAGCAATTTTTCCTCTAGAGACATGATGAACAAATTTTCTGATGTGCTATCCGGTAACTCAGCTGGTCACAAGTCTTCTGTATGGCCATAAACCAAGAGCATGAAAATCACCTGAGTTACTCTGAAGGACTGGCAGAATAACGAGATATGAAAATACCATGGCAGAGATAAAAGCATTGGATAGGTGCAGTTATAATATCTGTGAAAAAATTAAAAGTGTTATCAAATTTTGTGCTTCGGGATATGAAGTGAATACGAGCTGAGTTCAGGAATAAGTCCTTCCTCTGAACAACTTATACTGTAGAGCACAAATAGTGACAGAACTTTTAAATTTATTCTGATTGGAATAATTTGAGACATGGCAGCAATTTTTCATCTTCATCCTTTTCTGCAAATGACATTGACCATTCTCAGAGATTAAATGAACCAGTATTATCTCATGGTTTAGAAATTCCCTTGTTTTGTTAGGCTTGACATTCATGTGTGAAGACAGAACTGTTTTCAGCTTGGTCCTGCCTAGAGAAAAGCCTGGTAACAATTCTCAGCAGCAAAGACACTTCCATACCAGTTTGCCAAATAGAGCAGTACCCAAATTTCAGAATTCATCAGTACAGGGTCAAATATCTGATCACATTCTGGGAGGTTTAGATATGTAGACATTTTAGAAGTAGCTTGATCTGCCTTTTAGACTCCTTTCAAGTGTGCTTTTAGAAAATTGAAATATTAGGAAACTTTAAGTTCCTCTGGAATAAGCAGTTTTACAAAAGCAGGGTCACATGTTTGGCAAACGCAAACCAGCAGAGATTCGCTGAGCTTAATATGACAAACACAGATGACATTGTCAGAGCCACTCTAGTTTATGCCACCTGAAGTTTTGACCCTCTATAGAATGGATGGATAAAGAAGGTCCTTTACTTGCTTGTACCTCACGTTCCATTTGTCTGCTGACTAGTGCAGAACGCATAGCAGAGGCACAACAGGCATCCATAATATCTTGCCAAAGTCCCATACTCTTTGCCCATTTTTCTGAATTAGTGGTACAATTTGAAGGCCTGGGTTGGTAAAGAGATATTCTCCAAAATATTTGGAAAAAAGTTATAAAAATCTGAGAACAATCACCAACTTTAAAACAAGCAGCTATGATAATTAGAAGGAACCACAACGGACAAGTAAGGAAGACATGCATTTGCTTTGGTGTTTCCTTAGCAATCGCAGTAGTGTGAGGCTGAAAGTTCAGACCATATGACTGAGTGGTTGATACCTGCTGTCTCTACACCATCATGACTGTATTGCCTGCATTACCTGTACACACAATCCGTTCCCTGTACTGAACTTAAATCCATTAAAACTTAACCCTCCTAACTAGTCTGAAATCAAGGGTAGGCAACCTCCCAGTTTAAGTTTACAAACTGTAAATGTCATGTCAAAAGATATGAACCGCCTCCCTGTAAAAACTGAATACCAGCCAGAAGAACAGGAGAACAGCTCCTCTGGGATGCCACCCCTTCACTGCTGGGCATGAACCTGGGTACCCTGTTGGCTTCCTCAGCCCTTGCAGGTTCACTTTGTTCAATGGTTAGAGATCAGGTCCCTCAGCCACCACCATGCTGAAGGAACCTCCCTGCAATTTGTGTGATATAACCCTAAAAAGGAACCATAACTGACAAGGGTGATCCAAGCCCACAAGCCACTGTTTGGCCACTTAGGTCTAAATAGAAAAGATATACCACAAGATACATAGAAAAAAAAAAAAAAAATTATCATTATCCAATTATCCAAATAGGAAACTGACAGAGAAAGGTTCTAGTTCTCAGGAATGTCAGGATTAGATTGTATCCTCTTCTGCTTGTTTTGAAGCTCATCAGTCTAGGCAGAGCTGACACACCTATGAGGCTCTCTTGATCTGTAGTAGTATTTCAGCACAGGACTTTATAGGGTAAGATGAAGCCTCTGTTACATATTGAAAGACAAATTCCTCTAAGAATAATGATTTGGGGTTTCACCACAAAAACAGAAGGATAGCACCCACAAATCAAGTATTCCTAATAAAAAACTTGGGCTCAGTCACTTCTGAGCTACTGGTTTTAGATGACATCTGATCTGAAAAACAGCATTAAGTGTCCAAGGTAAATGTTAAAAAATAAAATAAAATAATCTTGTTACACATGTGAACTTCCCTGTTCTTATTGTCTATGTGTGAGAGCCACTCAGTCTGCTTTATGTCAGTTTCTGTATTACAGATATTTTCTTGTGACTAGTGAAGAGAACTAAACCTGAAGGAGCCAAAGGAAATGTTACAAAATCAATTCATTTCAGAATAAAGGAAATAAAACGTAATATAGCCCCCAAATCACATTTTTTTAACGATCTCTATTTGTCTCTTATCTACCTCAAGTAATAATGAATAAATAAATAAAAAAAATTAGGCAGGAATCATATCTTTTCTCATAGAAGAAGAATCAAAGTTATCCACTGTGCTGATGTAATAGAAACATAAAATTGTTGTAAAGGAACAGCAGCCATTATTTATTTTCTTCTAGAGAGATATTTTCTTGTGATAGAAGTCAATTAGTGTTTTTCTGTGAAAAAAAACATGAAAACATCAGGGATAACAATTTTTGTCTGAGAAGAAACAAGCAGGGTGGAAATATTTTTGATCTAGAAAGACATCTTAATGGGCCTTCAAAAAAATTGAGACAGAGGCAGAAGACACTGCTGTGGTTTTCCAGACAAGCATAATGCAACTTAACTCTTGAAAATGTTGGAGTTCTGATTTTTATCATTAATATAATCTGATGAAAACGTTTTGTTTCAGACACTGTCTCACTTTGCCAGAATTTTCCAACTTAATTATTTCCTTAAAACAGTAAAGAAAAGATGCTTCTAAAACATATTTCAGAAATATTATTGCTGCCTATTGAGATCACGAGTTCATGTAGGAAGAAGTGTTTATTTTCCTCAAATGGTTTTTCTAGTTCTTGCAGGAAGATTCTTGCTTCTTTTCATTTTGAAGTTACTTTTTTCCTCTTCTGGGATGCATCTTCCTGTCTCCTCAAAAGACTACTGTTTGTATCAGAGTAGCCTTGATGACAAATGTGACACTGCTCTAGGCGAGGCTTTAGATCTTGTTTTGGGAAATAGAAAAGATGCCATGACTCTATTGAGCTGTGTGCCTGTCCTTGTGCAAACATCTGTCATGGCCCGATACAGTCAGTCATTGCTACTACGATAATCAGTCCTCAAGTGGCTGAATGAGTATTAGAATAATGAGGTAAAGAGCTTACCTGTGCAAATAAGCATTTGAATTCACTTCTGAACATGAAAAAAGCTGGAATCAGATTTTGCCAACTAGGCCAGAGGGACCATCAGAGATGTACGGCACTGCAGACACCAGCTGACAGGGGAGATGGACAATAGAGGCTGGTGACGTGAAAGGCGGCACCACATTTTCACAATTTCCACAGACAGCCAGTGGTCATTCTTACTGTCCAGGGACAAATTCCAGTTTGGACAACATGCTGGCCAAATGCTGTCAAAAAGGAAGAAATACCAAGGAAACAATGTAAGCAAGCCTGTCCTGCCAGATGACCAGGCAGTTTTTTTGAGAGAGCGCCCTAATTGTCATGAAATATCACAAATTATTTGGTACAGCAGATGACAGTCAGAAAAGCATAGAGAAGGCATTAAATTCTCTGGGTACTTAGCTGTAGAGGAGGATGGACAGAAAATTCCAGAAGGCTTCAAGTGATGAAGATGACACGTCTGAGGGAATTAACACCCAGCATCTGGAAATTACAAACACACTACTGAAACACAGGAGCTGGCTGTGTGTTCCACTATCCTCCTACAACATAGTAAAAAGGTGAATTAATCTTGTTGTTTGTGGTTCATTTTGATTTTTTTTTAAATAATGTTTTTGTTTGTTTATCTAAATATTTGAACAATATTAACTGTTCAATTAATTTGGCAATGGGGAAGTTGTCCTGATTTATTTGCACAGATATCTAGTCCATTGCTGAAGCCTTTTATTTTGGAAGGATTTAGACTTAAAAAGATTGTGTCAGTTAGAGAAATATTGTATTTTTGTTTTTTTCTTTAACCATGTGAGTGTGTCCAATTTAGCATTAGAGGACTGACATGATCTTTTTGAGCTTCGCCCTCTTAAATGTCTTCGGCTTTTAAAAAAATTATATAAATACATGATAAGATACTTGCAGCATAAAAGGAGTCAGACCTATGGCAGTACTGCCAGATCAATGCACCTGAATAAAATCAGCATAAAAGTAGCTAAAGCCAAACAAGACCCACAGCTTCTTTGCTGCTACAAAGCAGTCTTGGCATCTGTGACACTGGTAATTTTATTCTAGAGACCATTTGTTCTCACAGCTGTAGCTGTGACAAAATATTTTCTGAGCATCTCTCTAAAGGGAACATCTAAAGTCCTCTGTAGGCATGGATGCCTTTACAAGGAATTTCTTGGCTTTTGATCAATTTTTAAATATACTTATCAGTACACTAATATTCTAGTTCAATTTTTTTTGATGACACCTGTGCAAATACAGTTAATCTAAAGAGAACATATACTAAGTCCCCTACATGAAAAGTCTTCACATCTAATCTGATTTTGATAATACTATATTTGTATTTCAGGGTTTCCTGTTTGCTTGGCCAACACGAACTATTATTCTGCAACCTCTCATCTGTGGTCCCTTTTCTGGCTTGATTTGGTAACAATATTTTAGAAATGATGAGGTCTTTCCAGTGACTTAATTCCAAAACAGAGGTCATGGGAAAAACTCTTATGCTTGAGTGTAGTCCCAGCAAAGTGTAAGCCAGGCTAGAGATAATATCTTTGAATGATAAAGGAAGCAGATTAAACACATGGGACTGTCCAGAAATACTTACACATAGGGCAGGCCATTAATGGGCAACGATTTAATGATACATCTTCAGAAAATGTTTCCTCTGTGCCCAGAATCACTAACAAGATATGAAAGAGATACACATTTAGCCATATTTTAGACACTCAGCTTGAGTGACTAGTGTGCCAGGATACCCCATTTAGTTGATATAGCAGGACAAGCTTCTCCAGAGCAAGTCAGAACAGGTGCTGTAGAAATGGCAGTGAGTATTTCTCATCGTGTTAAGGGAGAATTAGATCATAGCAGTTTAATACGTTACATCTGACTACAAATCTCTATGTGCTTGTCTCTTGTCCCTGCAATCAGGGAGTGAAAGCCTGTACCTGTGATACGAGATGCTGAATGTATTAAGGCACCCAGGCAGTTACCTCTGGTACTAAACAAAATGACAACACAATAAAACAAATGAAAGGAGAAACAGAAACAGTAAGCTTAGCGAGAGAAAACAAGCCAAGATGCTACAAATGTAAACACTCCTCAGTCCTTCTGTGACATTCTTCGTGTGTACGCTGCACTGATTCAACTGCATTGTTCTGTTCATTAAAACCACATGGAGTTTACAAAGAGCTTAAACAAGTCCAGCAGAAACATTCTGTGATTATTCTAAGCTGTGGTATAGAGCACATTGCAGAGATGCAGAGAGTTAAGGATGGCTTTTGCAGTGCACGTTAATAGCAATAAAAGCCCATACAACTTACAACATGGTGTTCTAATTAACAGAGAATATACCAAATATGGACATACAAGATCTATGCCTGATTTCCCTTCAAGTCACTGCACTTCTGTAATGGAATCTGTAAGGACAGTTACTAACCTGTGTATGAATGATTTTAACCTCTGTGTGGTTTCGTCCTGATGGAGCTTTCCTCCTCCTATTTTGTATTTCTTATGCATTTCTGGGCTTCAGCCAGAATCAGAACCAAAAATGAGACACTGCAAGTCTGAAGGTATTTCTGTCTTGGATCACAGACATGGGAAATCTCATGAGAAAGCATGTTGTGAAACTGCTGGATGGGTTTTGAGAACTTGAAAGATGAGGGTAGCCTGGACAAAGCTTCACACTGGTGGTTATTTGTGCAAATTGGATGTAAACTATTTCTAATTGGTCTGAATAATGTCTGTGGCTATACTCACTCCAGCGGGAATGACTCTGTAGTGCAAAACAGCTGGTACGGAGGACCTGACATCTTCACTGAGCTTATTTTGGGGGAGATTTCCTTCAGGTGGGGTCCCAAACAGTTTGCATCTTCTGAAATTGCTCTGCAATATGAACTAAAGTATGACAAGTGGAATTTGCTTCAAAAGCAGACCTCTGACCCAAGAAGAGATGGTAATGTGAATGTGCCTGAAGGTACTCAGCAGTGAAGCCTCACACCTGAATAATGCTTTATATTTTGAGGGTATTTTATAGATATTTATTATAGACATTTAGAAAATGGACTTTTACTAGGGAAAAGTTAAACCAAGGCCTCCTAAATTACAAAACATTCATCTGAGATTTAAATAAAAAAATATTGGTGAAAATTTAAAACACTTTTTTTCAACCAAAAAATACCAAGCTATTTTGATTCTACATTTCTTGGCTCTTTGCATCATGCTTGGCTGATTCATTCAACCAAATTCCCAAATCTTAGCTCTGTGCAGACTGTGTTTTGGAAAACATGATCTATCTGGTAGATGCAGACAACACCGCCACAAAATGGATTAACTCACATGATGCTTTTCTCATTTTCATTCTTAATCTTGGGAAGAACCCAGAACTTCACTCATGACAAGAAAAAACGTTTCCATTTTTGCAGAAGTGCCAGCTTGACAGACATTACTAAGGTTCTCCAGAGATTGTAGTCAGCCTAGAGAGGCAGCCTCAATAGCTAGGTGTTTCACCTGACTCATGACTTCAACTGATCAGAAGCCAAATAAAAGCCGAATAAGGACAAAGCACAAACCATTACACTGTCCAAGAAGTGAGCAAACAACCTGAGGGTTCCCTCACTATTAGTTCAAATACAGGCTGGGCTTGTGTTTATCAGTGGATGAAAAATAACAGATGGGCATGTGGATTTGGTAGCTATGAAACCTCTAACTCTCTGCACTCTGCATGCCCTTTCCACATGCAAAGAATAGCCTGACCAAAAAGCAATTCTTACCTTCTGATCTGAAGGAGAGTCACCATTTCCATCAGAAGTATTGTTAAGCTGTAGAATTAGGAGTGGGGGGATATGCAGCCAGTATAGCAGTATAATACACTGTGTTTAAAATAACTAGCACCTTTCAGTTGAGTACCCAGAGATAACTACATCTGAATTCAGTAGTCGTTCAGTGTCTGCAACACCCCTGAGGACAGATAGAGTTTAGATTTCTCCAAGTCTGTATGTCTACGTGATAAAAACAAGCTGGGCGAGTGTTACTTTGCCAAAGAGTTTGCTATGTGAACGTGATGCATGTAATTAAGGCCATTTGCATCAAACTTCTGCATCCTCAAGACTCGTGTTAGATACATCTGTCACAACCTGACATGTTCAATGAAAGAAGAAATACAGGGTTGAAATATTTGCACAGTGGTTATTTTTAACTAGAGAATAAGTCAAAATACAAAGGAAGGAGACAAGAAACAAAAACATGCAGAGACTGTCAAGAGCATGACAAAGCTGTAATGTCAATGACAAAAATATCAGCACAAAGCTTTTTAATTTTATATCCTTCAATTCTCAACAGCTGTAATAATAATTTTTAAATATGTAATTTGTATGTTAGCTAAAGACTAATGGTCTTTATTTACAAAAAGTCAAGGAAAAGCTCACTGATAACTTTATGTGGATGGCAACAGTCCCTGGAATACAATTGTAGTGACAGGAATTATTGGGAAGATTTAACAGATCTGGACCTGTTGCTATTGGCTTCAAATTTAAGGGATCAGATGATGCCTTGTTGCAAATAATATTTTAGACTCTTCTGGTGTTTTATTAGACTGGAAATAAAGAGAGCTTTTGGCTAATGGTATCATATAGCTCTGCTGTATGACCACTTTGCTCTTAAAATGTCTTTGACATGAGGGTAATTTTAGTTAAACAGCTGTTACCCAGGCTGTTGAGGACATCCAGATGGCTGATTTAGAGATGTTTGAGACGCCATATTGGTACTGCTTAAAAATAGTGCCAATAGTTGCAAGATCAAATTTTCTCTTCTGAAGGTAACACTCTGCTTTATAGTTAGGGAATGTTCTAAACTGCAGGCATTCAGCTGAGACTACAAAACCAGTTTAAACAGGATTAACCCCCCAAATTCCCATTGTAATCCAGTTGAGTCAATTTTTGCATTAATTTTAATAGAACAAAAAAAAAATTAGAGGATCAAAAGATTTGGATCAAATATCTCATCTTTTAAGCAAAGTTGAAACCTTGGTCAACTTAGTTCCATGGCAAATGCTTTTTTTAATAGCCTTCTATTTAGAGCAACAGAAAAAGCATCCCTGGCAAACTAACAAAACTCCAGATAGTTAAAACATTTAAAACTTAAAGTAATAAGGAAGACTTTCATTTTAACACTAGCTGTTCTTCCCTTTCTCTTTGGATATAGAGAAATTTTTGTGATGCT